TTTTATAAATTCAAAAAAAAAATATTACATTTTCTTCAAGACATGCAACAGATGTTTTGATCCATCACGATGATTATTAGTTTATGCACGTTTAGATTTTCCCCAACAATAGTAACCTGGTAAGTACTCCTACACACATTTGAAACTAGCATAAACCCACTTTTGAAATGAATATTGAAGTATTTCACCATAAGTTTTAAGTTTTTTGATTTTGTTGAATTGGTTTGATTGGGACGAAGACCTCGTCGAGGAAGAAGAAGACGAGCAATTTGTGTACAAGTCAACCCTCAATTTAAGACTTATTATAAAATACAATAGTACATTTTATAAACTTTGCGGAATACAACTCTAGCATTTGTTAACCCTGCACAAAGTAACATAGCTACCCAAAAATCACAAACAGAAGCAATACAACTTTATATATTACACAAGATTATCCAATGGCAAGGTACTTCACAAATCATTCAAACATCAAATAATTTGTCCAAAAACAAAACATTAAATATCTGGCATACCCATTTGTGTAATCTTCATTAGAACGACATATAGAGACTCATATGTTCTCCGACATGAAAATTGAATCAAGATTTTGAATTTTTTTTGGATTATTGTGATTTTTCCGTTGATATTGCCGATTCCTCTCCCACATCAAGTTTGAACAAACATAGACTTAGGTGAAAATATGGAGTTGAATAAACGAAAAAGTACTCGATGGTTTTATTTGTTTTGACTCCCACAATTGGTTTTAAGAAGAAACTAACAAAAATAGATGGAAGGTATATTACCCGAAGTTTGGGTGATCTAGGAGGTTTCGCGCCAAAGAGAGAGGATAGAGAAATATTTCACAAAACAAGTAAAGATTAAGGAATATTGCTTCAATTACCCGTTTTAAAATGTTCCAGAACACGCAGAAAGTCTTCCCACCATCATAGTTACTTAAATGGTCACAATTATTTTTCCTAGTGAAAAATCAACTTTAAGTACATCAAAGAGAAATGAAAATTTCACCCATTCTTTTTTATCCAGATCCCAAAAACCTTTTTACATGATCCACAGAATTTTCATATTTTGCCTATGTTTGACCTACATTCCTCAAAAATTCATTTTTTTCTTTCTCAAAATTATTTTTAACTATATATTCTCCGAATAAAATAATTTTGTAAGTGAACTCAAATTGTTTTTCTGCTTTTCAACCAAATATTCTTCGAACATCACTATTTTAAAATCAATTAACCCCAAAAATGGGGCTTAAATTTGAAGGAAAATTGCAGCCACGGTTCCAAACATTTGCGTTTTTTGCAAACTTTACCTCAACTTTCAGTTTGTGCCACCACATATCCTAAACATTTGAGAAATTCGTGAATGCAATCCAAAATGATGAAAAACGTTAATTCCACCATCAGTTGACCTCAAAAATGGAAAGGCAAATTTTGACCAATTTAAACATGGGCATTTTCGTCCAATTCTATTTTCCCCTTTTAAAAATCATTTGGTCAATTATAATATCACTCACTCTCCATTCTCTTTCACGATACGAACCCGAAATTTCATCTCTACAATTTCGACCAAAAATAACCAACAATTTGATGAAATTCTAGAAAATATTATGTGTTACATACATGGCTGTCTTTCCAAATCTATATATGGTAAGTTTTCAAAATCTTTTTCCAAATTTCTGGTTGTATACATGTTTGCCTCGTAGTGGGTTGCGAAGTGTGTTCATCATTTTAAGCATGTTATTGAGTTGGAATGTCAAATTTTGCAATATTTATTCACGCTGCTTTTGCATTCCTTTCATTGTAATAGAGTTTGGTATTGATGGCGGTTTGTTATTATAATTTTTGTCCAGAGGAAAATTCAAGTTATTTCACTATAAAACTACATTACGGTGGTGTATTACGTATAAAGATGAGAAATTTTATATACGAGAATGAGAAGATAGCCTAGCTAGATTGCGTGCGCCATGGTTGGTTTAATAGATGTCTCCTGGACAGTGCTATAAAGATGTTAGGCTATTTTGAGAAAATAAGATATGCTTATAAGATTAAAAAGAATAGACTGAGTGAAGTATCATTCTGGTCGGTGAAAGAAGCAAACTTTATGAATGTAGTTAGGTTGCTTGGTGAGAATAGGCTTGCTAAGATGTGGTGTGTAACCATAGTTGAAGTGTTGGAATTACCATGGGACGACAAAGTAGGCGTGGTATTTCAGTGATTGATATTGACACTAGTGAGGTGTTGGAGGAGGTGGAAGAAAAAGGGAAAGTAGATGTTGACGAACAGTTTGAGCATATTGTATGCTATGCAGTGGAGGTTTATGATGATTTTCTAGAGGGTGATGACTTGTATGTTGTGAATGAG